AGCATGAGGCACCAAGGCGGACATTCTGGCAATAGTTTGCATATCAAAACCTTGCTCGTATGTAATAATGAAACCCAGGACAAGCAAAAGCTCGTAAGTTGAAAAGTAAGTAGGGATGCTCGTAAATCGAGGCTCCCATGTACCGGAATTCCTAAATCCACCATTGGGATACTTTATAAACAAAATACCACATAAGTTAATAGCTGATTGATCTCTCCACAATTCTTCATTGGATTTTATTGGATTACTAACTGGAGCTAGCTATAGAGAATATATTATGCCCCTACTCAAGCAACTCTGCTGGCTTCCAACAATTTTCTGGGCTGAATTCAAGGTGCAGGTTTTTACCTACAAAGCCCTATATCAATGGTTTTCAACTTGTGGGTCCCCAGATGTTTTGGCCTTCAACTCCTAGAAATCCCAACATCTGGTAAACTGGCTGGGATTTCTGGGAATTGTAGGCTGAAACACCTGGGGACCCACAGGTTAAGAACCACTGCCCTATATACTTCAGGTCCAACCTATCTGTGAGAACGCATTTCTATGAACCGACGCAGCCTTCCACCACCATCTCAAGAGCAGTTGGTGTGGACGAGAGAGACGGCCTTCTCTGTAATGGCTCCCCAGCTCTGGAATACCCTCCCAAAGAGATTAGGTTAGCCCCCACCCTTGACTCCTTCTGCTCCAGCCTAAAAATACAGATTTTAAGCAGGCTTTTGACATCAAGTAAGCTGAAATGGGCCCATATGAGGTTGACACTATGAATTGAAGGCAGCTAGTTTTAACTACAGATGGCCCATGTTTTAAACTGTGTTTTTATTTTATTTTATTTTATTTTATGTGTTGATAGTGGTTGTTTTTATAACTTTTATGTGATATGTTTTCATGTACCGTTTATGTTATATACTACACTTATAGTGCCTTGTAAGCCTCCCTTTGAGAGATGGCTGTGGGATATAAATAAAGATTATTATTATTATTATTATTATTATTATTATTATTATTATTATTATTATGCTAAGGAACAGGGAGAAAGAGGTTAGCTTTATGGTAAAATCATAAAGTCTGTGTTTAGTCAAAGCTTTAGGAGCAAAGATAAGAGGAGATAGCAGAATCTAATCCCATCAGGCCTCTTAGGTGCTATTCAAGTCTCAGGTTGCACCTAGGATGGCGCGAACGAAGAAGGAAATAACAGCTGTGTTTCAGTTTTTCGAGAATTTTATTCAGATCTGTCGCCAGCTTCAGTCAAAATATCCTGGTCTCAAATTGGAAGGGAGAAAAAAAAGCCAAAATAAGGGACTGCCTTACCATCTGTATTGAGGTAAAGAATTCATAGTTATGTTTTTGTCTATATTCCTGCACAGTCAAGAGTTGTAAGATAAACTGGTATCTTTCATGGAGCTATGACTGGTTGAAAAACAGGAAGCAAGGACATGAATCAATGGTCAGTTTTCACAATGGAGGGAAGTAAGCAGTAGAGTCCCAGAATGATCTCTGCTGGGAATTCTGAAAGGCATATAAAAAGCACAAGCAGCTGCATACAGTGAAGACATCTGCCCTTGCGCTTTGCTACTCTGCTGATGAGTACATATGCCAGTGTGGAACACATCTCACCACGCTAAAACAGTGGCTGTGGCTCTCAATGAGACATGCCACATTATCACAGCCTGTCTGCGCCCTACACCACTGGAGAAATTATACTGTTTAGCTGGTATTGCACCATTTGACATCCGCAATTAGCAGCCAATAGTGAAAGAACCAAGGCAGTGACATCTCTGGCCTATCCCCTGCTCAGATATCAGCCAGCATGCCAATGTCTTAAATCAAGAAATAGTTTTCTAAGATCTACAGAGAAACTTGAAGGAACACCTCAGCAAGCAAAAGTTCAAAAGTGGCAGACTATAACACGGAACCTCAATCCATAGATTAAGGTTTTTGCTTGACATTAAGTCCAGTCATGTCCGACTCTGGGGGTTGGTGCTCATCTCCATTTCTAAGCCAAAGAGCTGGCGTTGTCTGTAGGCACCTCCAAGGTCATGTGGCCGGCATGACTGCACCAGAGCAGTACTTATTGATCTACTCACATTTGCATGTTTTCGAACTGCTAGGTTGGCAGAAGCTGGGGCTAACAGTGTGAGTTCACACTGTTCCCCGGATTTGAACCTGCAACCTTTCGGTCAGCAAGTTCTGCAGTTCGGCGCATTAACCCACTGCACTACCAGGGGCTCCAATCACCCTCAAGCCATGGCTGATAGCAAATGAGAGACTCCCTCCTGGTCACACAGAAGTCTGAGTGATTTAGAAGGTGCTGAACAGACTGTGCTCTGGCACCATGAAATGCCTTGAGAAATGAGGCTACAAAGTGGAGTCCATGACATGCGAGTGTGGGAGAGAACAAACCACAGACCACCTTCAATACAGCCTGAGCCCTGCCACATGCACAATGGAGGGCCTTCTTATAGCAACACCAGAGGCACTCCATGGTCAAAGAACATTTAGTATACAGTGTTCCCTCACTTATTGCATGTGTTACATTCAAGGATCACCTGCAAAAAGTGAAAATCCGTGAAGTAGGGATGCTATATATGTATATTGAGTTCCGAGGGTGAGGCAGAAGCAAGGACAGATTAAAGGCACCATGCACCTTTTTTTTGCCAGCTATCTCTGCTTTGCTTTGCAATCTCTCTTGATTGGCTGCCTCTCTCCTTTGGGGGGGGGGGGGTTGAAACCCCCTTCCACAGTCCATCGTTGCCAGGATGTGGGATTATATAATAAATAAATAAATAAATAAATAAACTTTATTTATATACCGCTCTATCTCCCCGGGGGGACTCAGGGCAGTTTCCAAGAACAACATCAAAACATACAAGAGTCACAACATGAACAAAAAATAAAAAATAACAATAACAGCAACATAAGCATGCAATTACCCAACAACACATAAAATTAAAAGGAAAAATTCTGCCTCATACAAATTGAAATAAGATGGGACCGGCATTTGAGTACAGTACTGTAGTAGGTAAACGACAAAAGCGGGGAAGGGCTATTTCCAGGGGCCTGTTAGGAGAATGACTAGGGTAATATATAGGGGACTAGATCGTGTCCGGACAGTGTTTTGGCAAAGCTACCACTGGTCACTCTCAAAGATTTGTTGAAACCACCAAGTCTTCAAACTCTTACGAAAAGAGAGGAAGGATTAGAACGGATAATTATATAATTAACTCCTAGAATCGGCTAACCAATAATGCTGTAGAGACATACAGAAGATACCTCTTTCCCTCATGACTAAGCATATCATGTGCATACTACACAGTCTTTGCTCAATCACGACAAAGTCTATAAATTTAGTACTGTGAATCCCAACATCTCATCTTACTGAACAACAAGACAGTTGTTTGCCATCTTGCTGATTGATTACTAGAACTGGGCAACGGCAACCATTCTTAAACTGGGAGGCAAAAGCCTGCAAAACAGCGAGCCCTCGAAAAGCGAACCGTGAAGTAGCGAGGGAACACTGTTTTCAAACATTGTGTGTGTGTGTGTGTGTGTTTCTTTTTTTGGTTTGCTTTTTAAATACATTACAACTGTACCCTTGGTTTGCTCCTGATGGGTTTAGAAAAGGCAGAGGAATGAGAGACCAATCGCCAATATGTGCTGGATAATGGAGAAAGGCAGGGAGTTTCAGAAAAACATCTCTTTCTGTTTTATTGACTATTCTAAAGCCTTTGACTATGTGGATCATAATAAATTGTGGCAAGTTCTTGGTAGTATGAGCATATCAAATCATCTTGTCTCTCTCCAGAGGAATCTGTATAAGCACCCAACCCATTGAACTATGCAGAACACATCATGCAATGTGTGGGGCTTGACAAATGAAAGGTTAGGGTAAAAATTGCTGGAAGAAACATTAACAACCTTAGATATGCAGATGACACCACTTTGATGACCGAAAGCTTGGAGGAGCTGAGGAGCCTTCTAACCAAAGTGAAAGAAGAAAGTGCAAAAACTGGGTTGCAGTTAAACATTAAAAAAACCAAGATTATGACAACCAGACTGATTGATAACTGGCAAATAGAAGGAGAAAACATGGAGGCCATGACAGAATTTGTATTTCTAGGTGTAAAGATTACTGCAGACGCAGACTGCAGCCAGGAAATCAGGAGACATTTACTTCTTGGGAGGAGAGCAATGACCAATCTCCATAAAATAGTGAAGAGTAGAGACATCACACTGGCAATGAAGATCCGCATAGTTAAAGCAACGGTATTCCCCGTAGTAATCTATGGATGTGAGAGCTAGAATATAAGGAAGGCTGAGTGAAGGAAGTTAGATGCTTTTGAACTGTGGGGCTGGAGGAAAGCTCTGAGAGTGCCTTGGACCGCAAGAAGATCCAACCAGTCCATACTTCAGGAAATAAAGGCCTACTGCTCATTGGAGGGAAGGATATTAGAAGCAAAGATGAAGTATATTAGTCACATCATGAGAAGACAAGGCAAGCTGGGAGGAGATAATGATGCTGGGGAAAATGGAAGGAAAAAGGAAGAGGGGCCAAGGGCAAGATGGATGGATGGTGTCCTTGAAGTGACTGGCTTGACCTTGAAGGAGCTGGGGGTGGTGACGGCCGACAGGGAGCTCTGGCGTGGGCTGGTCCATGAGGTCGCGAAGAGTTGTAAGCGACTGAACGAATGTACAACAACAAAGTGGTTAATACGTTTATTTGGAAGTGTTGCAAGGCACAATTTAAGATTTTTTTAAAAAAAAAACCTCCAAAAAAGTAACTTTTGCCAACTCTGGTGGGGAGCCAGTTACCCTCAAACTCAGAAGAGAAAGCCTGAGCTGGAGAATAAGATACACAGCCCCAGCCCCAGCCCCGCCTGCTCTGCACTGGAAGGCTCTCTACAAACCAGCCACGTTGTTGTCAGCCTCGAATGTGCCTCCCGCTCCTGATTGGTCCGCTCCACCCGCGGCGTCACCAGCGGGGCGTGGCCTCCATCAGCTGTTTGGGTCATGCCAGGAAGCAAGTGGGTTTTGGAAACAATGCCGTGTGGCGCGAGCGGCAGCGGCGGCGCCTGAGGTTGCAGCCCGGGGACTTTCCGGCTCCCGCGCTTTTTTCCCCCTCCCGCAGCAAAGCAGGACATTTCGGAGGGGATTTCGCGGCGTTGGCGTTGATACCGGGGCAGCAGGTCGGTGGGTTCTGGATCGCGGGGGGTTTTAAAGCTTATGCTTCGTCGCCTCCAGTCGTCAGAATAAAGGGAGCTATAGGTTGTTGTGGGTTTTCCGGGCTGTCTGGCCATGTTCTAGAAGCATTCTCTCCTGGCATTTCGCTCACATCTATGGCAAGCATCCTCAGAGGGTGTGAGGTCTGTTGGAAACTAGGCAAATGGGGTTTATATATCTGTGGAATAATGTCCAGGGTGGGAGAAAGAACTCTTGTCTGTTGGAGGTAGGTGTGAATGTAGCAATTGGACATCTTGTTTAGCATTTAATGGCTTAGCAGTTTCAAGGTCTGGCTTCTTACTTCTTGGGGGGGATCCTTTGTTGGGAGGTGATTAGCTGGCCCTGATTGTTTCTGTGGGGGAGGGACTATACTTTTAAAAGTAAAGGGGCTATACTTTTAAAACAAAAAAGTGAATTAATCCCTGACGTGTGTCCACTTGGTGCATTTGTACTGCTGCGGGTGCATCTACGCTGTAGAGTTATTGCAGTTTGACACCACTTGTGACAGCCAGGGCTCAATGCTATGGAATCCTGGGAGTTGTGATGTTAAAAGGTCTTTATCCATCTCTGCTGGCTGTCTCGCCAAGCTACAACTCCCAGGATTCCATCACATTGAGTCCTGGCAGTCAAAGTGGTGTCAATCTGTGTAGATGCCCCTGAGAGGAAGCATTGGGGTTTTCTTGATCAGCAGGAATGATGAGATCATCTGCCATCCTGTTGCTTATCTGCAGTCCTCAGAGTAGTTGGGGGAAGGAAGGAAGGGATTTTCCTAGCAACAGTGTGTTGCTATCCCTTTGGAAGGAGGCATAAGGGCTCAGTCTTGATTAGGCAATTGAGATGCATACAATGTGTTGTCGAAGGCGTTCATGGCTGGAATTACTGGGTTTCTGTGAATTTTCTGGGCTGTGTGGCCATGTTCCAGAAGCATTCTCTCCTGGCGTTTCACCCACATCTATAGCAGGCATCCTCATAGGTTGTGAGGTCTATTGGAAACTAAACAAGGGAGGTTTATATATCTGTGGAAGGTCCAGGGTGGGAGAAAGAACTCTTGTCTGTTGGAGGCAAGTGTGAAAGTTGCAATTTATCACCTTGATTAGCATTGAAAAGCTTTGTGAGGTCTGTTGGAAACTAGGCAAGTGGGGTTTATATATCTTTCTCCCATCATGGACATTCCACAGATATATAAACCCCACTTGCCTAGTTTCCAACAGACCTCACAACCTCTGAGGATGCCTGCCATAGATGTGGGCCAAACGTCAGGAGAGAATGCTTCTGGAACATGGCCATACAGCCCAGAAAACTCACAGCAACCTGAGATCCATACAGTTTACAGAAGACCTATTTCTGACCTTTGGCAATACAATCACTTGGTTATCTTGGGCTGAGAGGTTGTCCAAGGGGTTTGCATAGTTGAGTGGAGATTTGAACCCTGGTCTCCAGAGTCATGAGGTGCATCTACACTGCAGAATTATTTCAGTTTGTCACCATTTGAACCGCCATGGCTCCACGTTATGGAATCCTGGCCGTTGTAGTGTTTCCAGGTCGTCGGCTTTTTCCAAAGAGGGCTGGAGCCTCGCCAAACTTCAAATCCCAGGATTCCATTGCATGGAGTCATGGCAGTCAAAGTGGAGCCAAACTGCATTAATTCCACAGTATAGATCAGGCATAGGCAAACTTTGGCCCTCCAGGTGTTTTGGACTTCAACTCCCACAATTGTGGGAGTTGAAGTCCAAAACACCTGGAGGGCCAAAGTTTTCCCATGCCTGTTGTATATGCGCTCGACATCTATTGCACAAACCATTATACCAAACTGACTTATTCTATGGATCAGTCCAACTGGACTTCCTTGGAAGCTAGATCACTATAACCAACACTTCTGAATTTATCTGATAAATTTTACTCTTGCACCAGGAAACAACATCTTTATGAAATTAGGACCGAGCTGAAAGAAAAGTGAGAACAGAAATTATTACCACTGCAGCTGAGGTTTAGAGAAAAGATGCCTTTAACAGCCGCTTGGCAGACAGAAACTCCAGGGGAAATTTAACTCATCTCTTGAATGTATATTTGAGATGTAGCCGTTCTGGTTTTCTGGGCAGACCTTCCTTGTGGGATGGATTACTAGTGGTACCAATTGGCAGTTCACTGAATGGCTCGTAATTGTTTTGGTTGGTGGGGAGGGGGTTCCTGGCGTGCCCTGAAGAATAGATTTCAAGACATCATTCATTCTCTAAAGAACTTGGTTTGGTCCCTTGAGGCAGGTCAGTAGTAAACAGATTGGGTACTCTTCCCACAAAGCAATAGATTTAAGTGCTTGCCCAAAAGAATGGTTTTGAACGTGCTGATTTGAATTAGTGTTAAGGATCAGCAAGGAGTCATTCACTTGGGAGGTTTGGCCACTAATGTGCTGTGAGACAAGTACTTAAAGGATCAAATGACTTCATATACCCATCTCTGCTGTAAGGTCAAGTCAGCTGGAGTGCTGCTTCTTTTTGTTTGTGTGTCTGGTTTTTAGGGATTTGTTTTGACTTCATCTCAAGCTGAAATAATGCATTTAAGGCGGAAAGGTACCACTGAGTCTGCAGCGCTTAAATGTAGGACAGGAGGAGAAGGGGAGAGACAAAAGATTGGAGAAGTCCTTCATTTAGCCCAGCTTGCAGCTTTGTTTGTGTTTCCTATGGACCTCCCTCTATCCATCCTTACTGCTCCATTTTTAAGCAAGCCATGTATGTAGAGGTGCACCCCCCCTTTTTTTTGTTGGAGAAGGTTGGAGGCAGATGGAAGAATGTAGGCATTGTGTGGTTCCCAACAGGTGTTTCCAGGGAGAATGGACAGAAGTATTTTCACTTTATTGTGATTTATTGTAACTGTCATTATTATGTTGGAACATGCCGGCAGAGGTGACTTCCTTCTTTCAAGAAGATATGGTTGTGGTTTGTTTTGCTTGTTTCAGCATTTCAGGAATTATTTACACAGGACTTCAGGCAGCCTATCTTATCCTGATTCTGGCTAGAGTGGGATTTGCTAAAAGTCATCTACCATCTAACAACATTATTTATTTATTTATTTATTTATTTATTTATTTATTTATTTATTTATTTATTTATGTATTTGTTTCCTGCATTTGTATACTGCTGTTCTCAGCCAGAGGTGACTCAAGACTGTTCCTCTTTTCAACCTGGGGATCACGAGCACGGGGGGGAGGGGGGGGTCTCTAAATCCTAGCAACTACAACTCCCAAATATCAAGGTCTATTTTCCCCAAATCCACCAGTGATCACATTTGGGCATATTGAGTCTTCGTGCCAAGTTTGGTCTGGCTCTATCATTGTTTGAATCCAGAGTGCTCTCTGGATGTAGGTGAACTAAAACTCCAAAACTCAAGGTTCACCAAACCCCTTCCAGTATTTCTGTTGGTCATGGGAGTTCTGTGTGCCAAGTTTGGTTCAATTCCATCGTTTGTGGAATTCAGAATGCTCTTTGAATGTAGGTAAACTATAAATCCCAGCAACTACAATTCCCAAATGACAAAATCAAGCCTTCTCAACCTCACTCAATTTGGGTGTATTGGGTGTTTGTGCCAAATTTGGTCCAGTGAATGAAAACACATCCTGCATATCACATATTTACATGACACTTCATAACAGTAGCAAAATTACAGTTATGAAATAGCAACAAAAATAATTTTATGGTTTGGGGTCACCAAAACAAGAGGAACTGTATTAAGGGGTTGTGGCATTAGGAAGGTTGAGAAACACTGCCATAGAGGAATATTTGTTTCTGCTGTAAATGGTCTCTGTAAGGATTTCCTGATTTGAAAAAAACCCTTCCTCTTGAAAAAAAATCTTGTTTATATCCTGGTAAGGAATCTCAGACTTCTAGGGATAGCAGACCTCATAGCTGTGTCTGAAGCTTCATAGAGGAGGAGGCACTTGAACCTGTTTTTTATAGTAACAGAGCCCAATGCAAAAAAAACCACACACTCTTAGCTGGGAGTGAGTCACAGTGAACTATGAACACAGTGGGACTTTCTTCAGAGTAAACATGCACAAGACAGTGCTGTAGGTAAATGTTTGGAGTGAGATCTGTGTCACTGAATGTGTTTCTATTGATCTCTACTACCTTGTTGTTTATGGTCACTATGAGCGTATTTGAACTACATTACATCACACCAGAGTAACTGTGTTCAAAGAGATACCTGTAATAACCTGTTTGGGCATAAAAAAGCATAAAGGAATCCAGTAGCACTTTTGAGACCAACTGGGAAGAAGACATCTTTAGCATAGGCTTTCACAGCCACGTCTGTTGTACTTGATGTAGCAGACAGTTATTTAGGAAAGCTTATGCTAGAAATTTCTTCTTACCACTTAATCTCCAAGGTATGTCTGGATTCCTTGACATTTTTTATTCTATCCTGTATCATTATAGCCGTTTGGCACTGGTTATGGCTACAATCACAGCATCTTGGAATTTGTAGTTTGGTGAGGCAGTTCAACTTGAGATTCCAAGGTTTTGCAGAAAGTGGAGTTGAAGTAGCATCAGACCATTATGTAGATTTATCTGAAATATATATAGACTACCTCAAAGTCTGTAGCAGTGATTAAATGGGCACTGAGTGCCTGTAGACCACAGATAAGGAAACTTTCTTGGCCAGTGGCTCGCATTCTAATTTGGGAAGGGTTGTGGGGCAGAGGGAGGTATTCCATAGTAGGTACATTTTACTTTACTTACTTAGGTGATCCCTCGTTGGCCGAGTAGGATAGTCTTCCAGGATCAGCATTCTGGTGAGCCTATAGGTGATTGTGTCCGTAGATACATCACAGTGGTTCCCAACCTTTGGTTCTCCAGGTGTTTTAGACTTCAATTCTCACAATTCCTAACAGATGGTAAAATGACTGGGATTTATGGGAGTTGAAGTCCAAAACAACTGGAGGACCAAAGGCTGGAAACCACTGATAGGGGCAAGG